CGGAGTCCGGATTGAAATGTAGGGACTATTCAATTCTTGGCATGTGGGGGCGCTTCTACTGTAGCATGGTGCCACTAATGGATTCGTCCTGCACTGGCGGCAGCATGAGTTGTTCAATGGGAAATACGTAGCCGTCTTTACAGTAGCATCACTGCTGCGATTTCGTCCTGCATATGGGTCAAGTGTACTCTTCCAGAACCAATGTTGATTTGAAGGGGTAGACTGGCCAGCTCACTGTGGACGATTCGGGTGGGTTTGACTGCAGGGTCGGGGTGATGGCAGCAATGGGGCTGAAGTCATGTGCACGTCTGCATAGTACTAGGTCAGTTGAGCCGGACCACTCGCGCACGTCGCCAAGCCGCGTCCTTGATCAAGGAAGGAGTTGATCATTGCGGAAAGAAGTGTCGGGTCTTGCATGTATGTCCGTTGAACGCAATGTCCATCCGCACTGGATCCATAAAGTGTGATCTTTTCCAGCGCCGTCTATTGCACTGTACACGCAACACCTGGTGTGCACCAAGACACGCAATGGTTGTAGCACTTGACATGGTCCAGGTCGTCACGTGAACCCATTGTCAAGTCGTGACGCCGCAACCGGATTGGAGTGTGATTCCTGTGGAGACGAATCAGGAATGGCACCGCACAGGACGAAAACATCACATCTTCCGCACATATACCCACATCCATTCAGAGCTTCCTTTGGACGCTTTGGACGGAGCCAAGCTTCTTGTTCGTTGCCCGTGATTGCTGGGTTTCGTCACATCTGAAAAGTCCAATTTACTCACAATCGGATCAATCACAAATTTGGAAAAATGCGATTCCATGGGCTCAAATTTTGAATGTATTGGTTTTGAGACTGGAAGTGCTATTCCCAAAGAATGCTCGTCAAGGAAGTACAGTACTCTACGAAGCACAATACACACACGCTCAACCGAACATGTACTGATTTCCCTCCAACTTTGCAACGGCATCAATTATTCCGTTTTAACGGAATATCCACTTTGAAATGTATTATTTGCGTCGGTGTAATATGGAACAGAGCAAGTACATTCATGAAAAATTTCAGTTGAGATGTATGTATTTGGAGGTTTCACTGGAACAGACACATCCAAGGGACATACATAGAAAAAACTCATTTGGGCCATATTACCACCGACATATAATATTATTGGCCCATGAACAAATGTATTGATTTAATTGGCTATAACTCCTATTCGAGGCTTGGAATTCCGTGGTGTTGGAGGTACGTGTACATGTCCGACTCATGGAGGAGGAAAACAGGGTACGCCACATTCGCCATGAGGTTGCCAGCAAGTCTCAATGCATCTTTACGTAGGTGGGGCAACTTGAAGTGGTTGTCGCATTGATGCTCAAGAACCAGGCGCATCACAGCCTGCAGCGAGAGAAATACGTTCTCCAGCATGTCGACACTGAGGTGGTCGAAAGCTGTCAACGTCGAGAAAATCACATCGTCAATGGATGAACTCACCATCTTGTACTGTAGAACTTGGATGGATGCACAGAACCCAAGGTCCAGGACATTCAGGTCAGGGCTGTTGGGCGGCTGACAACGAATGACGAACTTCTATCCATCCGTGGATACGCTATCCAGGACTGCATCCGTGACCAAGGCATGGGGTGTCGCATTGTCGTGCTGAAAAATGACCCTTTGTAGGCACTGGGAAAGTTGGCCTTGATAGCGGGAATAACCTTGTGCAGAACGAAGTCACAGTAAACATCCGCGTTGGCGTTGACTAACGTCGAGACCATAGTTCCAGTGGCGCGATTCCGAGAGTTGCGAGTGGCCGGGGCTTGCTTCACGAAGGGCCACATGCCGACATTGCCATTGAACAGAACGCCGCGGTCATCGTCGACACGGGGCGGGCGACGGCAGCAAGGAACATGACCTAGGGTATGAATCGCTTGCTTTTGCATGCGCGACGGCTCAGAGACCCGTTCGTCGACAGATACACTTTGCGACGGTCCTTGTCCGCGTTAAACCATTTCTCGTCAGGGTGCACGACGTCCCACATATCGTCAAATTGACATTCTGCTAGGTTGACAGCGGAGCTGGCAACCTAGCAGAATGCTCAACGGCCGGCACGGAGCGTCGGACGTGCGAGCCACAAAACGCAACCCTGGCCAACTTGTTGGCATCCGTGAGCAGGGGCTTGAGGCGTGACGAGCGGCGTTGGATGATGCCGGCCTTCAGGTTGCGGCTGAGTGTGCCAAGCGACAACCCAGTTGCTTCCGAGATGTCGCGCAATGTTGAGCGCTGGGAGTGGGGTACAGCGTTCACCATAGCTGTGATCTCATCAGCCGTGTAGACTGGCTTGCAACCCACACGGCCAGGTTTGTTCGACGTCGGCTCGTTGCTGCTGAAGGAGGACCACAACGAGGAGACCGTGCTGCGGTGCAGTTTAGTTGGGCTGCAGTTGCCGAGATGGCTCCATGGGCTAGCTTGCTCTTGGTGAAGGTGCGTTGCAGCATCTTCACAACCTCGAGCTTATCGTTGGCACTCAGTTCTCGGCGTATGCGTGGCATGTCAGTGGTCATGGCGGCAAATTCAAAAATAGTGGCTCAGGTCCCCGACTTTTGAATTATAAAAG